TTCGTATACGTTTCAAATGCCTTTCCATTTCCATTGCTTTAAATCTGCCATGGCACACACATACATGCACAATGTAAATCTAATTTGACACCATTGTGCTGCAACATCAAATGATCAAAAGTGTCTCCCATTTCTCTCCCCTCGCATTAAGGCATCAACTATCTCTGTGATCTCTACTTTTAAAAGCATGATTGTATTCAGCAGCATCCATCTCTACCTATTGTGAAAGGAGGGAAAGTGCTGGGTGTAATGGCTGTCATTTACTCACCTGAAACAGGAGGGAATTATAAATGCCATGCAACCCAATCCTTTGTATTTATCCCCGCTGATATGATGGCACAGTCACAGGGAAGAGACAGTGAGCTGTAATGGTCAACTCACTGGTTAAGCCCACGAAGAAGATAGCGTAAAATGAATGTGATATCGAGATGAGAGGGACAAGGGGTGCATTGGGTCGTTTAGCCACCAAATCCCTCAATTTTGTGATAAAAGTGGAGACAAAAGTGTTGCCCGCTAAAGTGTGAGCTTGTGTGTATTAGATAGAGAAGGAGAGCTCTGGAGAGATGATGAATGCGTGATGTTTCACACCTCAGAGAATCTGAGTGACAGAGACGGGCAGACTGAAACAGAGGGAGAATGAATGATATCAGGATCTGTGCTCTGGAACAGAGGGCTCCTATTGGCAGCCATCGCTTCTGCCAGGCTTTGAATATGGTGTGTGTTTGCTTGTGTGTTTTATCTGTAAACAGAACCATCTCCCTGATGTAGGCATCTATGGGTTTCCATAGCTCTGAATATCTTTCATATTCTACACTGAGTTTTATTTGTATTTTTTTTTTTTTATCCCAGTGAATTTTGTGTCTGGTTCAGTGTCTATAATGATGTTTTTGCATGCCCTGTTTTTGTTTTGTTTTTTCTGTTCCTTTTAGATATATTCAGATCATTTAAACTGTTTAAATTATTAAACGTTATTGAAAAATTGTAGTGAAGGAAAAAAACATTTGGAATCATGATTTTCTTCATTAATCATGTTATGATTATTATTGAGCAGATATTTTAGCTTGGTTTCACTAGCAGGATGTAGGCGAACTCATTTTGGAACCTGGCACCCTCCAACTTAAAGTCAAAACAGAAAATAGGTTAAAATATCTTAATAAATAACTCAAAACCAGTTCCAAAAAAAGTAATTGTCATATTTTGCTTTATAGAGGGTTACAAAGCCACTTGTTAACTCTGGGACTCCTGCTCTGAACCCATTATCCATAAATGAAAAAATAAAAAATAAATAAAAGGACTAGCTAGTCTACCAAAGTTAAATTAACGGTACATTCAAGACGTCATAAAAATCCTAGAACATCCACAAAACTGATCCACTTCCGTTGGTTAAGTCTCTCTTGTAAAATTGAGAAAATAAATTAAAAAGGAGAAAGTGTTGCATTCAGGTTGTTTTTCAAGGCCAAAACCACTGCAGACCAAAACAAGCTTTTCATTATATGTCAAAAACCCGAAGTCATTGAAACAAATTTTGTGTGGGCTAATGAGAAAGAAGCAAAATTCTTGGAAGCTGTATCTCTCCTCACATTTGGCAAAAACTAAATATAACAATCATCATTATACCAACATTCAAACATTGTGATGATTGTGTGATGGTCTGGAGCTGCTATCAGGCTTCAGGACTACTGGGTCCTGCTGTAGCTTACAAAACCATAAACTGACCATAGAAAAAACCTGAAGGATATTATCGTCCCATTAGGCACAGTAAGCTCATGCACCTTTGGCGTGTTCAGTTGGATTTTGACCCCAAGCACAGTTGCAGCTGGGTAGTTAAAATAAATAAAATGGATTCTAGAATGGCTGAGTGAAAGTTCTGGCCTCAGTTTAACAGAGAGACATTATAGGGATGTCCTGATCAAATATTAGTATTGGATAGTGATCCGATATTATTCAAAAGATTAATATCCGATTTTATTGGCCAACATCTAAAATCTCCAATATTTTCTTGCTGATAGAAACACTTTGCTTCTGTTAAGTTTCTGTAACTTATTGGTTAATTTTATGAGCCGGTTGTTATCATGCCCTTTGTTGCAAACTTTTGCTCCCTGTTTTACTGATATTATTTGATTAAGCCTTTTCTAACATTATACAGTATAAAATAAGTATAAAAGCCAGTGTGATTTGTGCTAATATCTTATTGGGCCAATATCAGTATCTGCCAATTCTCAAAGCTGCTATACTGTATCTGTATCGTATGGAAATGAAAAAGTTGTATCGGGTCATTCCTACTTTTTCGGGTGCTTTCACTGATTGCTGCGGCACCGTCTTAAATATCAAAATAATACTAAGATGAGTAGGTCTAAATTTTTCCACATTGATGCTAAGATACTTGTTGTATGGCAGTACTTTCCCCAAGGGGTAAAAGTTGTATTGTCTCTGGCCTTAAATACTTCTCTCAGGCAGATAGTTTCACTCCGCACATTATGAAGCAAATGTTGCAGCGTTATTTGCTGCAGTTTTATCTCAGTTTTTGTCACATGATGATGAACTTTTCACACAAGGATAGAGAGATGAAAGAACATTTTTCTTTTATCCAGTCTGATGAAAAGGCTTTGCTACCTTATATCATCCATAGGCTATCACAGTGGCCTTTCTCTACAGTCACCCAGAGGATTCTCTTGCAGTGAAGTGAGGCAGTTCTAAATGTTCAGAGGAAGATCGGGGCTCAGGAAAGGGAAAGGTGGTGTGAAGAGAGGAAATCCCTTTTATAAGACACATTGCTCTGTATAGATCAGTGTAGAGTTTGATCATGTGTCCAAAACATTGCTCTTCTATCTCCCTGCTTCCATCTCAAACTCATTCCCTTTATCTAACTGATGCAAATATGGTTCTACACAGTAGGGAGGGCAGAACATGCTTGCTTTTTTTTTTCCAAAGCACAAACACGCTTTTCACACTGATAAACCAGTATTGTCTGTAATCTGTAATAGCATGCACAATTCCTCTTGACTTTGACAGGTTGATGCATATCATTTTAAATTCATTCAGCTATGTGTGGATCTGCAGAATACGTATGTAAATATATTATTGTATGCTATTTATAGTAGATGCTGAGACACCATGATAAATACACAACAGTTGCAGGCCAGGAGAGGGATTAATGCAGTGCACTGTTTTTACCTACATAATGTTTATGTATCATAGTTGGTTGAGGTTTGTGATATTTGTCATGCACCTGTTTGTAATGTGATATAAATTTCCTTGTAAGGTAGATACAGAGGAATCAATGTTATTTAGAAAGAAACTGAGGAATGAATGAGTCCGCAATATGCATCCCTGTTATAAAAGATACAGGTAGAGTTCTTACAGATGTGAACACATCTATTAGCTTGGCCTGTCAGACTGGTTTACTGTTCCCTTTAGAAATTTTGGAATCATAATACAAGATATATTAGTACTTATTCTTATGCTTATTATACTGTAATGTAAATTGGTAGCCTGGCCAGCTGGACTGGTTTATAAGTCAGTCTGGTAAGGCTATTGACTCTAGTCAAAAACAGACTGGACCAAAAATAATGTAGGAGGTAGATCCATTGTGCGAAAAAAAAATTTGTGCATCTGTCAAGAGTACAGCTGCAATGATTTGAAGTTTTAATGATGACCTTTGTTATGTCTTAGAAGAGCTGCTCACATCTTTGATATTTCAACTGGCTATCGTAAAAGCGTTTCCTTCTAAAAAAAAAAAAAAGAAATTGTTTTTCCACTGAATGTTAGTCATGCCTTTAAAATGGGCCTCTTACCTTCTCCTTTCCAGAATGATATGCTGTGTACACTTTAAAAGTCAGTCTCGCTGGCAAGGCAGTGGCACCCTGTAATTCACACTGTAATTATAGAAATTCTAGACAGAAGAGAAGATAAACTATTTTAACTTTTTTTAAATATCAGCATGTATGGCTCTCGTGTACATGCTGGTGATGTCACGTCTTTCCTGGCTCTCAGGGAGCACCATGAGTGACAGCGGTCATCCACCAATGATAACTCTTTAATCAGAAGTGCCAGTAACTTGCTGTTGCCATGGTAATGAGAGAAGGGAAAGCTGAGATCCACCTCACTTTTGCCCCTTGTGCCGGACCACTTAAGGCCCCTGCCAATCAGTGCCAGTCAGTGCCAGTTTGAATTGGCAGTCCCATATATCATCATAGATGGACTGCTAATCCCTGGTGACCCAGTTCATCCATGTGGAGAAGCTGGATTGGAAAAAGCTGAGAAATGCAATGCATTAATGATTCTATACAAACATGTTTTGATACAAGATGATGTACATGTCTTTTTGGAAAGTATTTTTCTTTTTAGGAGGGTTTGTGGTGATTTTACACTCCTGATGGCCATCTTAAAACTAAGACAACTAAGAAAGACCTCAGAAATATTTAGATTTTCATCTATTGGATCTTATTCAGGTTAAAAGTATAGCTTCAATGCAAAAACAAATCACGGAATGAGACCGCATGATACAAATAACAAATTATTCATAAGGTTATTCAAATACATATTGGCTCTTCATTATATGATCAAAGGTTTAAGATCATAGCTGAAATAGAATTTGATAAAATACTACCATGGTCTGGAAAAGCTTTGGTTGTAAGCCTCTCTTTCTATCAGTTGTCTATGGTATTTAACTTTCCTTAACTTGTCAGTGTTTCTTTAAGAGATTTTGTCTTAAAGGTCTATAAATGTTGTATGTAGAACATAACTTTCAAAAGCATGGATCACACCCACCAACAGGGAGTAGAAAGTGTCCCCTCCCTTTGGTTTAAAAACATACAGCATACAAAAATCCTGTTTAGGTGATGGTGGAAAAGACTAAAGTTAATGAATAATCTTGCAAAGTGAAAGGGATGCATTGCAATGAGTTTCACATATCAGGCTTTTTGACATTGTGCTGCCCTGAAAACAAACAGCTTTCTTTAGATGTACCTTGAATTTAACCCTATGGTTTTTCTCCACAGCTCTCGAGAGTGCCAGTGGAAGCCTGTGGACAGTACTCCACCTGCAGTGAATGTCTTGGATCGGGTGATCCTCACTGCGGCTGGTGTGTTTTACACAATATGTAAGTACCTTTCAGCATGTCTTCACCCTTGCTGGATCTAAATATTTTATTTTATCAATGTCTTACAATTTGTAAATTACTCCAGCAGCACTGCATGTTAACATTTTTAGCAATCTTGTGTTTGGGATTTATTTGGGCACATGCCCAGAAATCCAGTCTTCCCTATCCTAGAGGATTTAGGACTGTCTTCTGCTGGTATAGGCCAAGTTTCAGATTGTCTTACTGGGTTAGGTCTTGTGCCAGATTCCCCCTTAGATCCATTACCCACCTAAACCACTGGCATTCTTTACCGGCCCTGAAACAGGAGCTCGGTGAGAGCACAGACACTGGTGGGCATTGCCAAAGTTCTGATGGGCTTCACTCCAACCTTAAAAGTGTGAGCTTTCTCTCATATTGGAAGCTGCTGGAGATCACAGGGATGATCCTATTAAGCATACGATACTCAATTGACCCTGCTAACCTGTTATCTTTGGCTCTACTTCTAATATTGTGAGTCTCTGTAATTTTCCCCTCAAAATGCATAAGGACGTACAGCAGGATGGGTCAAATTTCACAAACAATCCATCTCTTGACAATCCCCAGTCCTTCAAGATTGCAGAGGGAGATGGTGCTTGCAGGGGGCAGAGACATTCCCACTACCCTGTAAATTGAAAATTGGTTTCTTGTGTTGGCTCTGGCTCAAGGGTAGAGTGGCTGGGTGTGTGTGTGTGAGTGAGAAAGACACTGAGACTGGTACATTTAGCACCTTTATCCCTGCTACCACCAAGAGGACGTGATGAGGCCAAGGGAGCTATGCGAGTGTGAGAGGAACACAGAGAAACCCAGATATAAGGCAAGATGGACAAGGGAGAAGTGACTGAGGGATGGGAACTGCAGCAGATGAGTAGGAAGATGACAAATAAAGAGAGCAGGGAAGCAGAGTAGTCAAGAATAGATGGTAATAAATTCTTAGAAAGACAAGTAGAGAAATGATATCAGGATGATCATATATTCCAAGGCCAGAGAGGGAGAGTGTGTAAAAAGTGTTAGCTGACAGTGAGGATAAAGAATAAATAGAAGAAAGTCAAGCAAGGAAAAACAGAATATGAATAAATATGAGATCCCTGAGGTAGAAATGAACTATGATGGGTGATGGATGGATCATGGAGCTTAAAATTGAGGTTACAGGCAACAGCACACAAACATGTTCATGCGTGAATGACTAAATCATTAGTCCAGAGATTTCTGTTGACAAACTTTTTTTCAACAAACTGCTTTTTTCCAGCATTTTCCTTGAACTGTTTATCAGCTCTGTGGAATGTATGACAAATTCTATAAAATATGTGCAGTTATTTAAATTATAGCAGAGAGCAGTAGGTTTAAACCCCTGTGACCTGATTTTCTGTTGGCTCTCTACAGTACACTTGCTATTCAGACTATATTATTAGCAGAACTGAAGGCCATCGGTGAACTTGTATTTATTTGAAGGTAAAAGCAATTGCAATTTTTGAAATCCTTAGTTTGGGCCCAAGGAAGGTCACAGGCTGGACTTTCATGCTTAGCCTAACCAAGCTAGCATCCCTTGACTCTTTGTCTCCACAAAGGCGCATTCCTGCACACATTATGTGGTTTGAATGATCAAGTCAAGTCACTAAAAAGACCACTACTAAATTCAGTTGCAGAGTAAGAAAGTTTTATCATCACAAGGGTAACTGTGCCTCCCAAAAGGCATATAAAATGCTGTCAATTTGACCTTCTTCCAGCATGGTGACACAAGGATAATGCAAAATGCACAAACCACCGTAGTAAAGCTGATTGGCCTCTGGTTCAAAAGTCTTAGTTCTTCCTCCAGGAACTTTAAATCCCTATTCTTGTTCATTTTTAACATTTTCTCAGGGCAACTCAACCCTTCCCAGTCTCTTCAACCACTGCTGCAATTGTATGCCTCCATAACAAAGCTCAATTAGTTCACATATTTAACATAAAAATTTAATCCATTATTAGGAATGCAGTTTAAAACTCAAATGGAAGAAAGAATACATTATTCAAGTCAATTTAAGTGGATTTCTGTAAGCTGTTCACAAAGTGAAGATATTGGATATTTTCTTTTCTAATTATTATAATTTAAACATGCACAGTGTGGAATTACACACATTTTATATCATTGTTGACTCGAAAGTCATTAACAGACAACGAATCAATAATTATCAGGATCCATTAAACTCCCCAAGCTTTTCTTTTAATACTTTGTCAAAGACATAGGCTGTCAGGCTATGTGTAATTCAACAAATATGTATAGCTTTTCATAACTAAAATACATACAAAACATAACTTGTTTAGCCCTTTCCAAGAATAAAATCTAAATGTAGCTCAGAAACCCTATTTTTCTTGGTGAACATAAAATAATAGTAAAGCGAGTTACATATATATCAAGGGAAATTGTAATTTGATTTAAAGTTTTCAAAGTTAAACGGCATTGGATGGCAGCAGGAAAGCTGAGTTATGCTTATACCTGCTGGCTACATCACAGCCAAGAAAAGTCGTTGCCTCTTCCTAGGGAGAGCCTTTAGGTTTTAGTTTGCAGTTTTTCTTTTTGATAGATGCGTTGTATTTCCATGGCATATGTAAAAGAATAAAATACACAGAAGAATAAAAATCATAATTTTTACTACAGTAGTTCAGTTTATTCATGAGCCTCACTTATAGAGACAGATGTGAGTTGATTTTATAAAGACTTCTAGTAAATGACAGCAACTTGATGCTTGAAGCCTGAATGCACAATCTGCAGTGCTTTGGACAAAAGGTACAACAAATTACATTTAGTCAATTATAATTAAAGTGTTTTAGATGTTCAAATTGTCTTGTGGAAGGCTTTTATTGGCTTGTTCAAGGTTAAATATATTTGAACAGAGAATCAAAATCAGAGGCATAAACATCCATCTTTCAGAACATATCAGAAGAAAGACCAAAACACAAAGAAATCTCAGCCTGCCACCCACGCACACTTGATGCTGGAAGAAAAATGGTTGTGTGGAAGGACGGCAAGCCGTTCCACTTTAAAAGTGTTCCTCCAGATAGTTTGTTGTTCCAATCAACCTTGAAATCACCTCCCAGCTCCAAGGAAAAAACAGAATTGCATGCTCCCTCTCTCTCTCTGTTTTACTGTCTTCCTCTCTTATCCACACACACACTCGCTCTCCTCTCTCGCCATCAGTATTGCCTTTATTTACTCTATAGATCGGTGAGAAGAGCTGTTAGAGAGAACACCAGGGCAAGAGCAAGAAGGCAATCAATATTAAAGGAGAGAAAATCAACATCAGTGTGTGCCTGCTTCTTTGATAGCAGTCATACTGTCCTTGACAAACAATGATCATTTATTTTAAATTTGTCATCAATGTCACACATGTTTGACTCTGAACATGTTTGTGTTATTATTTCTTTTCTATCATCTCTAAATTGTCTGCGTTTTTGAGCCTTTAGTAAAATTGGCAACGTTTTTTAAGTCTTCTGTAGAAACCTGACCCCATCTGTGTAAAACCCAAGGTTCCCTGTAGGGCTAAACTGTCTAGGTCTGCTTATACTGTCACCTGCTGAGATGCACAGCTTATGCTAATATCTGTCCAGTTTAACATTGGCAAGGGAAGTTTGAACCACCTCAGTGCTTAGTTTTTATTTTGCCTTTTCCCTTCACCCTTAAACATGAACATTTACAGTCACATAATGTCAATCAGGAGAGAGTAAAAGGGGTTCTGACAGATGATTTGGTCTATTAAGAGATTGATTGTTTGCTTTTAAATATTATATGAATGTAAAATGGGGGAATATATATTTTCTTTCAATTCATGTTAAATATTACAATGAAATATGGAATATGAAAGATGTGCAAAGTTTGCCATTTCAAACTTCTGCACTGTATTTCAGGTTGGAAAATTGATAATTTCCCTCAGGACGTTTTGTACCAACCTTGAATCATTTCATACCAACCTAAAGAATGTTGCCTTCACAAAAAAAGATTTATATTGACTAAAATTTGATGATTAGAAGTCACTTGATGGTCTGAGGTTGATCAAGATTTATTTGTCTGATATTCTATAAGATTTAACATATATCCTGAGCAACATTACACTTTTTTAATATATGGGTTTCAAAAGTAAGAAAACAGATTTCGTGAGAATATTAGAGTATTTTCCTTAATTCATTAACTTGGTTAGATATAGAACATAAACAGGACACTGTTTACATTCTTTAATATAAGTTTATGGACCATTCCAGTGTTTTAGACTGCAAGATTAATCATCTCTAATTAAAGATATAAAATACCTTTACAAATAAAAGATAAAATTGATCACTCTGTGCTGCACGAATGTTCTTCAAAGTAAACTTTGAAGATTTTCTAATGCAGAAGAAAAAAAAAATCTTGACAACCATAACATAAAAGAAGCTCATAAATGCCATCATGTTGACTGACAACTTGATTGATTTTTTTTGCAGTGATTGCAAATGTAATACAAAACTTTGGATTTGTTTTGGATACTTTTTAACTAAGTAGGAATAGAATTCAGAGATTTTCTTTGTTTTGCATAATGCTTATTCTTTAGGGCACTATTTAAGGCAACTGATGTTAGTTGGTATTATAAGAGGGCTTTCACTTTTTGACCTAATCAAACTCTGACACCCAGTCAAAAGGGGAGGAAAATTACTTTTAAAATTTCTATTAGGCAAATCCAGACTTGCTCTTTCAAAGCTATCTGAATTTCAGCTTTTTCATCAGCACTGTGCTTTATTTTTCTCTATAAAGACCCAAACTTTTACACCGACTCATGTACATAAAATGCAGTCAAGTTATGGTCTTCTGTATGACAAATTGTTTTATTACACACCCAACCCAACAAAGCACTGGGGGTTCATATCTTACTGTTTTTGTTTACATCGCAAGAGTAAAATGGCATATTACTTTCAGATTTCCATCCACACTTCATTCACTCCAAGGCAGTGGCTCTCCTGCTGAGAACCAATATACC